ACCTCCTCAACAACTGCATGGTGCCGAAGCAGAGGCGGTTGAAACCTCACTAAAATCTCGACGACGGTGTTGCAGAGTAGTCGTGTTCAACAATCAGCATGCGCACAGCACTCGTGACTCACTCCTCCTCATCCACTCCAAGTCCTCCTCATCCACTCCAAGTCCTCGTCCAACGTCTAACATGGCCTTGTTGCAACTACAAACATAGAACTTTGACACAAAGGTATGTCTCCCGAATTTTGAGCTTCTTTCTTACAACATAAAATGGCCATCCTCAGATGCGCGTGATGATCAAGTCCCGCTCAAGGCCTACTCACAGGCCACGACTCTAGAAACACACACAAGTGCTCGTACGCGACCAGTCAGTGTAAACCAGGACTCGTTGAAGCACTATCCGACACCCCTCACATAAACCCAACATAAGCACATGGCTTCGACCCTCCTTCGCGCTCCCTCGCCCCTTCAAATCTTCAGATCCTAATCCCGCCATCCGAGTTTACATGGCCCACCTTGCCAGCATCCATCCCTGTATGCAGAGCCTTCGCAAAGAACCTCCTCCACCCCTCCCCAAAGTAATCCTCCAAAATTTCCCTTCCACCTCAAGCCCCCATTCCACCTCGAAAGCCTCGTCTTCCGCCTCAACTGCCTCTCCCCGCCTCTCCCCCCCACTTCAAACCTTCATCCCTACCCTCATACAAACTTCCCTCTACGCCTCGGACAACACAAGCTCTGCCTCGTCACTTCCACGTCCTCTCTCCCTTGGTAGAATCGACATGTTCGATGCTGGTTGGGCGCAGTGCGCGGCTGAGGGTGTTGTGCTTGTTTTCAGTTTTCAATGAGGAGAAATGCCAGGGCTTCTGTGGGACTGAATGTGCGCAAGGAAGCTGGGATTCGGAAAGGGACCTCAGACACAACTTCTGCTCCACGCAATACGCACATAACGAATCACCGGCTGCTTGTGCTTCTCAAGCTCAATCTCAGACGGCGGACGCGAACGATTATGTTGAGCATTTTCGTCAGTTAAACCGTTGCAGGAATGTATCGTGCCTGGTATGGGCGATGTTCCCTTTTTGTAGTCTTCAACGTTGACTTCATCTTCGAGGGCGCCATTCACTCCTGATACCGTGGCGTGGCCTTGTTGAGTTCGTCCTCCTTAGTCGAGTTCAACATTGGCTTTTGAAAAATGGGAACCAGCAGGGCAGACTACGCTCACAAGGCAGCCACCACCGGCTCCGTCTACCTCTCCACCATCTATGAAAACGACCTGTACTGCCACTACGCCCTGGGCCTCGTCAGTGAGGCCTCTTTCGCATCTTCTGAGCCTCGATAAGGAACACCCCTGGCTAAGGCTCTCAGCTCTTTCCATGGGTCTTTTCCCAAAAAAACCAACATCATCCATGACTTTCGTGAAGATGTCGATCAGCAACGGTATATTTG